TTAAGCGCTCAAAAATAATTTCCTTCGTTTTTTATAACCTCAGTTTACTTTATTGTAAAGCTAAATTGAAAAAGATAAAGTATGCCAGTGCATCAACCTCAAAGACGAGTCTGTCTGGATGACTTTAACCGGTAAGATTTGAGTGTGTGCGTCTAACTCGATAAGATTTAAACAGTTGCTTAATGTGCACGGTTAGTTGGGATTATTAGTTATCTAGTTTAGACAAGCTCTGAAAGTATCATCGCATGTATCGTAAATTTGATAATACCTCAAGAAATTATACGCCATTTTGAAATTAAGGCTTTTAAGATGCTGGTCACAAATAATTTAGCATCATTTACCTCATGACATTATAAATAAAACCCCCAAATAAACCCACCATGTTTATATTTAATAATCTGACATGACAAAGTGACAGGTTGTTCGACTGAATTACAGACTATAATTGAATGAACGACTGTCTCAGTAACTTCATATTCGCTCCGACGAAGGGCTAACGCTCGAAACGTCAGCTTTTGCAATCGTCACGGTGGCCAATTTACCATTTCAACTTTGTTGATATATCCAAATTATTTCGTTACCCCCACCGCCGCAGCCCCAAACAGTTTCTTTAGAAACGACCAGCCTTTATTTATTATTGATTTTACGGATTCAATAAGTCCACAATTTAGTTTATCTATTATTACTATCGCTATTGTTTTCATTGAACAAAGATTGAATGCATAATTAATGTATGGGGTTATATGGTACTCTTGCCTTACTGACTTACTACAAAATGTATGATGTGATGGCTATTTTAACAATTAGATTCCATATTTGCATGGGTCTGCTCAGTAATAGATAACATGATGTCAAAATGTGGTAAAAACAAAAAAGTGGCTCGTGAGGCACAGCTAGGTGTGCCACTGATATATTTCCACATTTTGACATAGTCTGTGATTTAGAACTGTGCGGACCCCTGGCAAAATGGATTCTATTTGTTTATATGATAGCAAAGCAAAATTTTTAAAAGTTGATATCCATGAGTCCATCCTTAATCAATCGTAAGTAAGAACCAATCAAAGTGCTTGCACAATTTTTATTATTGTTTAACCAACTCTAGATTTGATGTCTGACTTACTGGTCTTAACTGAGTGCCTGAATGATCATGAAATGGAATCACTGGCTAACTCTGATTGAATGACTGAATTAAAGAGTAACCTTGTGACTGACGTAATGTATGATCAAATGACTGTAGATTGAAATTCTGATTGATTGGTCTTGACTGATGGCTTGAACATGAAATTAAATTACTTGCTGACAACATGAGTAAATAGGGACCTCAAAAAACCACAACGGCAACACCAAGGAAGACTTGGATTAAAAAATTAATTTCTACTCTTAGTTAGAATTTCAAAAATGGCTGCAGGAGCTTACTGTCTCATATATCGCCACAGCTCAACTTCTGCATGACGTATAAAGTAGCCGTTGAGTTCCAAATGGAAATTAAAATAATTTGCTGTCGCGGTTTTGGTTCGCAGACGACGCAAATTTTGGCCATTTCAAGTTGTTGTTTTGCATAGGATGGCTATGAAATGTACAAAGTTTCAAAATGCACGTGCTGAGCTACTGTTCTGCCAATTAGATCTCTTGTTTTCCACCTCCTCGTTGCCGTCGCCGTCGTGGTTTCTTAAGGTCCCTATTGACCACTGACTGACCACCAGATAGAACTGCCTTTCAAAAACAGTCAAATTATTTGCTTTCCAAATAAATGAGACTTGGTGAGATGCACAGTAATGCATCATATCCAAAACAAAAAATGCTAAATGTCTCCAAGATTATTGTCAAGGTGAGTTTTTGATACACATCTTGCTACATGTATATCTTTGTTACATGTGGACAATTCTCTCCAAAAGCACAGCAATTAAGGCAGAATCTAGACACTGTTTTTTTTTTTTATATATTTTGAAAATAATATTGGTGGATGAAGTTAAGTTGAGAGAGCTAATTGTTTATGCAAACATTGGCTATGGTAGCCATCAACTCAGAAGCAAACAGAATTTCAGGATTTTGTTATTTATTGTCATGTGCTTACTCTTAGATGCAAATTTAAAGATCAGAGTTATGATGTTTATACAGGATGCAGATCATTACAAAATAACGTCTCCAATGAATGGGCAATATTGTTTGTTTTCTATGAGCAATATAATGGTTATTAATGATAAAACACTTGTATAGTGCTAAAAACTGTTAACACATTCAAGAGCTTGTAACATTACATTAAGGATTATAAACTAGTGCAGAACACTATGGCAAAGAGAAATGTTTTAAGTTGATGTGTCTTAAAAATAGCTAGGCTGCTACAGAATCTGATTGGTAAAGGCAATGAGTTACACAAGGCAGGAGCAGCATAAGTGAAGGGGCAATCCACCGATGTTAAAAATTGACCCATGGATTCTTACGTTTGTATCTCGCACATTCTCCATTTTCACCTGTAATAGATAGTTACGTTTAACTTAGTATCTCGCGCATTCTCACTAAAGTGAAGTTCTTCTTTGACCTTTGATTTCAAACTTTAAAGTATTGGTTACTTTAATCAACTTTAACTTATCAAATAATAAATCAGTTATGAATTGTATAACACAGATACAGAGAGTTCAGGCAACTAGTTAGTTACAATATGTTTCTTATCCAACTGTGCTTTGTCGAGTACAAATAATGCGCAAGACAAGTACAAATATCACACGATATTTGTACTCCAGAAATATCCGTGAAATTCTCCCACACTGAAACAGTAGTTTGGTGTGGTGGATAATAAATCTCTAATTAGATGTTTTGTTGTGTAATATCTCAGAGTATTTTTACGAGTTGTGCCATATTTTGACGAGCCTGTTGGGCAAGGATAAAGGGTGTCATTTCCATTTATTAACCCTTGTCAGCGCTCTCCATATTTTTATGCTGTATTAAATATTCCTTGGCCTGGAAATAGAAAAATCCAGGATTTCTTATCACTATGTTTACCCCACAGGATAAGGAAGAAATGCAGCTTTTGTTCTTATTTTGGATAAAGCCAATGCAGAAAATTTCCTTCCAAAAGACAAAAGTATAATTTTTGCAAGGCCACTATTGAGAACCGTCATCTAGTAAATAGCTTAGACATCAGACAGGAAATTCTTTCCTGACTTGTTAGGTCAATAAAACTATGCACTCACCAATAACAACAAAAAATAGATTTATTATATTAACCTAATTCTAAATACAATTGTCATGATATTGTTCCTTTGAAAAACAACTGTTTGATTGAGATTGCAATTGCATTTAACATAGGACAATTAAAAAAAAAAAAAAAGATTGCAATTGTACAGTTTAAGAAAGTCAAATTGAACTTCTCTACTCCCTGTCTTCTTATCTTGCCTGCTGAGACAGTGGGCCTCCTAGTAGAGCATTCATTCAACAGCATTTTATTGAATGTCATTTATGTTTTCTTTTCTTCCCAGGATGGAGGAGAGATGCCTTTTTGCCTTTCCTCCTGGATTTTCCATCACACGGCTAATTTCAGTTGGATCAGTACTTATTGATGTCTGATATAGGTAAAACAAATATGATGCAGATCAATTGTGCATCTGAAAATTTTACACTAGACAAATTACAACTCATGGCTTATTCCTTCTGCACAATTTGTTTCTCCACACCAACTGGTGTAGTCACTGGGCCTAGATTAATGGGACACTTATGAACTTCAACACCTTATAAGGAATTCAACCGGGAGTCAGAAAGGAGTCAGTGTATGAGTGTGTGTGAGTGTGTGATGAATGTTTCGGCCATGGGACTGTCTTAATGCGCTGAACAGAGAGTGGACTTTGTACAAGTGATGGGTGAGGTGACTAAGAGCTGACCCACAAAGGAGTCAGTTTCACCCAAAAAATCTCTTCCTTAGTCTTAATCTGTGATACAAAGACTTGGTCCCACAAAAAAAAAAGGAAAAGGATATGCAGTGAGTTTGTGATGAATGTTTTGGCCATGGGACTGTCTTAATGTGCTGAACAGAGAGTGGACTTTGTACAAGTGATGGGTGACTAAGAGCTGACCCACAAAGGAGTCAGTTTCACTCAAAAAATCTCTTCCTTAGTCTTAATCTGTGATACAAAGACTTGGTCCCACAAAAAAAAAAAAGGAAAAGGATATGCAGTGAGTGTGTGATGAATGTTTCGGCCATGGGACTGTCATAATGCACTGAACAGAGAGTGGACTTTGTACAAGTGATGGGTGATTAAGAGCTTACCCACAAAGGAGTCAGTTTCACCCAAAAAGTCTCTTCCTTAGTCTTAATCTGTGATGCAAAAACTTGGTCTCACAATAAAAAAAGAAAAGGAAATGCAGTGGGTGTGTTGAATGTTTTGACCACTGGACTGTCTTTATGCACTGAACAGAAGGTGGACTTTGCACAAGAGATAGGTGATTAATAATTGACCCACAAAGGAGTAAGTTTCACCCAAAAATCTCTTCCTTAGTCTTCATCAGTGATGCAAAGACTTGGTCCCACAAAAAAAGAGGAAAAGGATATGCAGTGAGTGTGTTGAATGTTTCGGCCACTGGACTGTCTTTATGCGTTGAACAGAAGGTGGACTTTGTACAAGATATGGGTGGCTAAGAACTGACCCACAAAGAACTGACCCACCAAAAAAACTGAAAATCTCTTCCTTAGTCCTTATCTGTTATGCAAAGACTTGGTCCCACAAAAAAAAGGAAAAGGAAGTGTAGTGAGTGTGTTAAATTTTTCGGCCATGGGACTGTCTTTATGCACTTTGTACAAGAGATGGGTGACTAAACATGGAGCTTGAAAAATGGGGATTTAATGTTTCACTCTTCAGTGAAACTATGACTCAGCTCTTTTGAGGCAAATATCTCTTTCCTGAAACTCTTCCGAATATTTATTCCTTTTTTACTGCAACTTGGAACTCTCAAAGTTCTCTTTTAGCAGTTACTTACAGACATCTTGTTTGACGAACAGCCATTTTCAGACATCTCTCTTAAACAACAACTTCTTGATATTTTAATGAATAAAGGCTGATAGTTTCGAAAGAAACTGTTTGGGGCTGCGTCGGTGGGAGTAACGAAATAATTTGGATATATCAACAAAGTTGAAGTGGTAAATTGGCCACCGTAACGATTACAAAACGTCAGCTCGAAACGTCAGCTTTTGTAATCGTTACGGTGGCCAATTTACCACTTCAACTTTGTTGATATATCTAAATTATCTTGATATTTTAAATTGCAGAACTTGGACAGTCACTCGTGGTTAGGGAATACAATGTAATCCAAGTTAGCGTCCATCTTTGTTTCCATGGAGAAGCTACTTTCTGCTCTCTGGAGGATCTGAATGGTAAGAGGCAATCACTGAGTCTTTCTCAGGAAAATTACGTTTTGTATTACCGGTAATTTGTCGGGATGTCTAAGAGATGTTAATCATGGAAGGACATGCACTATCATAGCAATTAAATCCCCTTCGCAAAAGTGCAAGTGCAAGCGCGGTATAGTTCCAAGGAATATCTGGTAGCTTTTATAGACAGGCCGGATATTTTCGCAATTTGTAAATCTCTGCAGCCGCCTTCAGTTTTTTGTTGAAGTCGACAATCGCTTGAGAAGGGAAACGAATTACTTTCGCCTTAGGCTGTCTTTTTTACCAAGATCCTGTAAGTGAAACTTGTGCTGTCCTCTGTTAGTGTAATTCTAAACTGAATTGAAAGGATAATTTTTCGACGGCCCATTCCTACCATTTACATGTTTTGTTCATAACTGGGGATATGAGGGCTGCAGACCCCTCTCAGTTCTCAGCCCGCATGTGTGAGGTATCTAAGGTAAACCACTGAGCAGAGGTTGAATTTTAGTGAGTCATAAAATGGTTGTTTATCCCCTGAATTTTCCTATACAGCGGTGTGGAAAATCATTGGGATCTGGAGATAATGTTCGACATTAGGTTCATTGGACAGTCTAATGCGCAAAATGAAAACGACTTTTATTTGAACGAAAGAGCTAAAGCCTTTAGGAAATAAGTTGTAAGTGAAAGACTATAGGTGATCTTTAGCATTCAGTGCTTAGAGATCAGCTATGATCTTTTCCTTGTAAATTGTCGTCACATTTTATGTAAGCTATTTCACCAAAACTAGTTAACTGTCTCTGTTTCGAACGAAATTACTTTTAACTGTAAAAGGACGATAGTAGGTAATCAGTGTTACCTAAAAAAAAAAAATTTATGCTCTTTTCCCGAGATAAGGAAATTGTAATTAGGTACTTCATTATTCGACGAAGAAACCAATCCTTGACACGAAAGTGTTTTTTTTTTTTTTCAATTTTAAACTGGAAACAGTTGGAATTTTCATTTTTAATTTTATCGTTAATTTTAAATCTGTACCTTAATGTTTTGGTGGATTGAAAAGATGAAAGGGATCGTGATACAAAACAACATGCATCCTTAAAACAGTTGTTTAACCTGACGGCAGGAAATGTCGTCTTATCCCACGCGCCAAACCTTCATCACAGGCGAATGATACAAGTTCTAAGTTTAATCGTATGGTCACGTGGGACTTGGACCATAGCTTTTCAAAAATTTCATACACCTTTTGATCACTTTATTTTGGAAAGATTATCAACAGAAGTTCGTTAAACCATGCTCTTTTTAATCCCATAACCATTGTGGATTCCGTTTGTAAAATACTCTTATAGCTGGTTGTCATACCGCCCTACTTTTTAGTTTTGACCCTCTTTTTACTTACACTTTTTTTCATCCTTTTTATTTAGGTTAAAACTGGGAGCCACCATTAAGTATGATAACTGGGACGACCTCTGATAGAGTACCTGTGCTGACTTTAAAAACGAACTACAGTAAAAAGTAAGTTCTAATGTTGTTTATTGTTAAAACGCTGTGTATAAATTTACATCAATAAATATGTTGAACCGTTTTATACACATACAAAGATGTTCCGTATTGTTGAACTGTGATTTATCTTTCTAACTAGAACCAGAAGTGATAAAACTATAAATGTTTTGACTCTTTCAGTTACTGCAGATGATCACAATTTTTAAACAGAAGATCAATGCAGAGGATTGGTGAGTATAATGGTTTTGTTACATTTGAACGGAATTTATTCATTGATAAGAGTGTTCCGAGTGTTTTGGCGGGTACTGTTTAATCGCCACATCAAGAGCTCTCTCCTTAGTATGAAAAATGACGAACTCCGACTTGACACAGCTTTCAACCTTGCGAGAAGACTTAATTTGCAACTAAAATAGTGTTTGTACATGTGCTAAAATGCATGCGTGTTTTTGTCATACAGTGTCAAATAATATTGCATCGTAGCCTACTCAAAGTTCTTTCTTCATCTCTCAGCAGATTTCATGAAAAAGGACCACACCAAGAAGACTATCATCCTTAGAGAAGACAAAAATTGGGGTTAATCGGCCACCGTCTTACTCCACAGTTTGTTAAAGTATTGGTAAAAGTTGTTTACCTTGTGGTAAGAACATTTTGTCTGTAATTAGTTTTTGAAGACATTTAAATAAAGAATTTTCAACATTGCTGTATTCCTAAGGTCTGTTATTAAAGGGTGTACTTCTAACCAGCTTCATTGTACTGTACAGGTGTACAATAACATAGAAGCTAAGTGAAATATTCTTCAATTCTTCCTTCCTCGAAATCTGAAATAAAGCGAAGCAACAGGAGTCAGCAGCTTTCGAAATTGCCTCTCTATTGTAATATTGAATGTTGGGTTTGGCAGGTGAATTTCTGACATGGCCGCGTGATTCCAAATTCTGTCAGGAAAATTATTCAATGGAACATTACGTACTATATCAACTGTATCTGATAGGAGTTTTCCCCCTTCAAATTAAAGCTGTCCACTTACACTATGTGCGAAGAGAGCAAAAAAAAAAATAATAATAATTGAATGACGATCGGCTAGTTAACTGCGTGCACTACACGCCAAAGGAAATTAAAATAAAAATTAAATTTACAATCCATGGGCAGGACGGAATACTGCGGCGAAAACAACGGGAAGGTAAATAAATTCCAAAAGTTTCTTCAATGCCAAACAGTCAGATATTTTTTAAACCCTTCCTTCAAAATAAATAATCGTAGTTCGTTATGTACTTTTATTCTAGGGCCCGGATCTACTTCTCCCAAGATGTAAAGTTAAAACTTCACTTCTTTTTTGCTACACGAGCTGACCAATAGGTTAATTCTCCCAGAAATTTTACTGAGTGTGTATGATTCAAGGTTAGGAGTAAACTGACAGCGTCTCACTGTGAAACGTCACATTTGGTTTCTCATTGGGAATTAAATAATACGAAGAATATTCTAACCTGTCAGCAGAACTTCCACATGTCATCTTGTAACTTTCAATTCACGTTGACATCACTAACAATTCCTCTTTGACTTCGGTCAGTAAAGAATCAACTGTTTGCCTGCTGAAACAGAATTAAAGAAAAACAGACTTAAAAACAACGACGGTAACCTTTCAGTACTTTTCTCATCTTCTTTCATTTACATTGCTTACATGTAAATAACCACGATACGGGCAGTTCATTTCCTAATTGGCCGGAACATTGACCCTTTAACTCCAATGAGTGACCAAGACAGAATTTCTCCTTACAATATCAAAACAATATCAAGCAGACAAGTGATAAGAATAAAGACAAATATCAATTAGGAGCTCAAGATTATTAATTCATCCAATACAAAATTCTCAGAACTAACATGAGAATTGTAGGGCAGAATAAAATCTTGGGAGTGAAAATGTTAACAGACTAACCTCTTGAAACTTATCCAAGTTCTATAAACTATAACTCCTTATTAGTTCTCTCATCCACCCTTAGCAATAAATAATCCAAGTTATCCGCCAATCAGACAGAAGTAGTGAAATGATATTCACCTTATTCGCTGGTTTGACATAATACATGTGGATTCTCTGCGAGTTGTGTAACATTTTTTCTGAGCCCGGTAGAGGCAAAGAAAATACAAGTAATGAGAAAAATTCCCACTTGTATTTTATGTTGAACTGTCGAATAAGGGATTTATTGTTTCAATACTATTTAATTATCTAGTGGTTTGGCTTCTTGTTTCAAATCAAGTCAGTAAGGAACCTCGTGATTCAAAAGGTAACTCACTCATTAAACAGTCAGTCAGTCAGCTCACCTATCAGTCAACCAGTCCATCATACAGTCAGAATCACAATCAGTCAGTCCAAAGTCCAACCATCCAGCCAGTCAGGCAGCCACCAAGGCAGCCACTAAGTCAGTCACTAAGTCATCTATCTACCAGCCAGTCCAACAGTCAGTCAGCTATATATCCAGCCAGTCTGTCCTTGAGTCAGCCTGTTTGTCCAAAAGTTAATTGATATGTAGTCTACTAAATCTCCCAGTTAGTCATACAGTCAGACACTCCACAGTTGTTTGACTGATCAGTCAGTCCACCAGTCCGTCATAAAGTCATATGGTCAGACAGTCTGTTGGTCAGCAAGTCAATACCCGAGTTAGTCAAATGAATAAAGGGAATAAGTTTCTAAAGATACTGCAGTGCACGCTTTAACCTCCCTAATCATTCTAAGCAGCAAATGGCAGTCTGCTACCTGCCAATTTAGGCAGTTTGGAAAGCTGCAAAACTCTAGAAAAAATTTTCTTTCAAATCTGTACTTTTATCCCCAGAGTATCAACAAAAACTTTTAATTAAACTAATTTATATAAACACACTCAATTAAATTCCTCCATTAGCTCTGACCAATGGCTAACACTCATACCTCAGCTTTGTAATTTCAGAGCTGAGCAAAGTGTTTCCAGCATCTGATTGGTTGAGCGGTTCCTTATATGACGCTATATAAACCACTACACACTACAAAATGTTAAAATCAAATGTTAATAAATGTTACTAAAATGTTATGAATTTAGAAATTTCTCTGTTGCTCAGCTCTGAAATTATATTAAAACAATTATTCGCCTCAGGTTCCATGAATATTGTCAAATAATCCTCTTGACTTCATCTCGGGGATTATTTGACGATATTCACCTTGCCTTCAGCAAATAATTGTTAAATGGTGGCCAATTTACATTATCAACTCAGTTGGTAAAACCATTTGGTTACCCAATTAAGTCAGTCAGTCAGTCAGTCAGTCAGTCAGTGAACCAGTCACACAGATAGTAAATCAGTCATTCAGTCTGTCATTCACACAATGTGTCAGTCAGTGAGTTATTCAGTCAGCATTTATATTCATCAGTAATTCACTGGTTACTTAATCAGTCACTCAGTCATTTCACCAATTGTTCCATCACTAGTGAGTCAATCAATCAATCATTCATCCAGCAACCCAGTCCACAAGTCAGTGAAACTGTCGGTGGGTCATTCCATCCTGAAGAAACTCACTTAGCCAGGCAATTAGCCCACAAGTTGGTCGTCAATCATTCCATCCCTTATTCAGGCCATCATCACTCAAGAAGTCTTTCCGTCAGCTGGTCACTCAGCCATTCAGTCAGTCCATCAGTCAGTTGATTTGGTCAGTCTGTCAGGCAGTTATAGTCAGTCAGTAAGTCAGTCTGTTATTTAATCAGTCACCTCTCTCATCCACTTAGCCAATTGGTCAATGAGTCAGTTTATCATTTCAACAGTCCCTCAATAAGTCAATAAGTCAATCTGTCTGTCAACCAGTCAGTCAATACATCAATAAGTTATTTGGTCAGCCAGTTTTTTACCACAAGGTCAAATGATCAATGAGTTAGTCTATGGTTAATTCAGTCCCACAATATGTTCATCAGTCTGTCAGACATCAGTCAATTAATCAATCATTCAGTAAGTCACAAAGTTACACAGTCAGTTACCTATTCTGACAGTCAGTGATTCAGTCAATCAGTCATTTACAATAGTCAGTCAATCAGTCTGTCAGCCAATCAGTAATAATAAAGGTCTTAATAAAGGTCTTTATTAAGAATTATTGTGCAAACAGAAGTGCAACAATTAACATGAATAGAGTGAATAAGGAAAAAGAAAAGGTATTAATTACTATTGAAAAGACATCTATTAATAAAAACTGATTTAAAACGGCTTGTCTGAACCTTAGGCAAATTATAATTATGCGACTTAGTTCTCAACTGCCATGTTCTCTGGGGAGGTAAGAGATTGCTCAACGCAGTGTTGGTGGAAGAGATCCTTTGCCATAATTTCTTATCTCTATTACAACGGATATCCAAGATACTGTGTTCCTTTAAGCAGTAACCCAGCTTATAACACCTGGCAAAGAGCTTATCAATTCTACTTAAATATTTACTATAAAAAGCACACCCCCAGACCTCAATAGCATATGTAACAACTGAAAGAATCATACTTTGAAAAATTAAGTCTAAATTCTCAATAGGGTAGCCATAATATTTACATATTCTCAAAATATACAACCTACTGCTAGCCTTACTAAGTAGATAATCAATATGAGTGACCCAATTAACTGGCACTTGCTCAAAGGTAACACCCAATAGATTCAGTTTTTCTTTCCTCCCTATGATCTCGAGTGGTTCAGGAGGCGTCTTGGAAGTCTTTCCTCGTAAAAGAAGTTCCCATGTTTTCGTCAAGTTGACTTTCATGCAGTTCTTCTCGGACCATTCAATAAAGGATAGGATTTCCGTTTCGGATTCATCTAAGCCTACATTTGCCTCGATTGGTAAACTAATAGTTATATCATCAGCAAATTTAACTAGAAGATTCTTATTAGTATTAACAGCTTTGATATCGTTAATAAAAATAGAAAATAAGACCGGCCCCAGGACTGTACCTTGAGGAACACCCCTATTTATAGAAACATATTCAGTACTATGACCATCGACAACAACTCTCTGCTTTCTATGATTTAAAAAACTAATAAGCCAATTAATAATATATGGATTAATGTTAACTTGCTTTAATTTACTACAGAGGGAATTGTGTGATACAGAGTCGAAGGCCTTACTAAAGTCAAAGGAAAAAATTCTGACAAAATCGGCGTTACCATCAAGCCACTTTAACCATGTGTGTTGACATTTAATTAATGCCATAGTAGAGTTATGGCCACCACGATAGGCAAACTGATCTAAATCAATATAATCATTGAAAATACTGGAAAGTTCAAACCTATAGACCAATCGTTCAAAAAGTCTCATGATAATAGCAGTTATAGAAATTGGCCGAAGCTGGGTGCAGCAAGTCAATGGAGACTCCTTAGGTATAGGCTTGATGTCTGCCATCTTCCAAGAGGATGGTACTTTATGTTGTTGCAGCGAGCTGTTAAACACATCGGTGACAACAGGGGCAAGATCATGGGCAAATTCTCTAAAAAGCCAGTATGGGAGCTCATCCAGGCCACAAGCAGTCCTCTTAAGCTTAGAAAGAAAAAGTGTGACAACGTGAAGAGGTATTGTAGGTATCCTCGCATCGTCAGGAATATCAATTGGTGCAGGGGCTATATATTCAGGATCAGAGTTTATGCTACAAAAATATTTGCAATTCCATCAGCCAGTCATTTTACCAGTAGGTCAAATTAACAATCAGTCAATCCATGGTGTAGAAAGACCCTAAACAATTCAATCAGTCATTTAATCAGTCAGTAAATGGGTCATTTAGTCACACAGTCAGTCAGCTAATCAGACAGTCAGTGAGTCCATCTACCAAACAGTCAATCCATCTATCAGTTCCCCAGCCTAATGGTCAGTGAAACAGCTAGCCAGCTAGTTTCTTGAAAATTCAGTAAGTCAGTCATTCATTTATCCAATAAAATGATAAAATTGTAAATGAAGCAGAAGTTACTTTGAAGTCATCATCAATCTTGTTTGCTTGTAAGTCAATCAGTGACAATGTTGTGACAACAACCCCTTTCTATCAAATACTACATTGTACATAACATCCACAATCCACATCTTGTTGAGCTTCCAGAAAGGAAGAATCACAAACTTGGAAGAAATTTGCAGCAGTCACATGTAAGCGTAATCTGCAGCATTCTAAAATTTTTAAAATCTGTTATTCTCTTAAATTGTTTCTCTTCAATATTTGTTTAATGTTGTGTCCTATGTATCTTTCTCTTCATTCATCAATCACTCAAGCAATTCATGTTAGTTTTCTTACCTGAATAAAACAAAGAACCACTGTCAAATACATTTTTGAAGATGTCAGTCCTATCTGTCCAAGTGTTTGTACATAATGTAGTCTTGATGCCCCTCCTGTGGAAAAATCAAAAATAAAAATTGTCATCAGTTTTACTAATACTAGAGGCTGGCAAAGAGGGGTTCCAATCACACATCACACTGAATTTTTCTATCAAATCACACATCACAAAGAAATTTTTTAACCAATCACATATCGCATAAAAAAGAAGTACGTATGCTAAGCTAATAGTGTAATGGATGTATCATTTCGAATTATATTGTATCCAATGTTTTTTATTCTGGAATAAATTACATTTCACTGATCATATTGCTTTTTGTTAGACAAATTGAGACAGCATATGCATTGAAACTTGATGCTCCAAGAGTGTTTCTTGGGCTTCGTATCACAATATCTCCCCTGGGTTAGAGGGAGAGGACAGGTGACATTCAGACTAACTACCAGGTCAAAGAGCATTCTCTTATCATGGAAAACTAATTACCGGTAGTAAGATGGGTAAATCACACATCACCCACTTGTAAAATGGCAAATACTGAATCTGGTTGTGATGTCAGTTCCCCTGTCAGACGGATAGTTTGGGTTCAAGCCTCACACTACAAATTTATCTTGTGACTAAAATTTTCCAACTTGTGACTAAATTTTAGGAATTACTTGCAAATTGCGATTGAGAACTTTTTTAATTTCCTGCCCTGCTTGCATAAGTGACACTTGCCTCAGCCACACTGTTTCTCGAGTGAGAGAGAGGGCAGGAGTGATGATTTGGATAGGCTGCTAAGTACTAAGATTAGAGTGTCCAGATTGTTTTATCTGTTTTTGCTCCTTAGAAATATATTTTAAATATGCCAGTACCGGTTGTGAAAGTGTTTGACTGACATGGGCACCGTAACACATACCACACAGTTCAGAATTTTTCAGTCTTGTCACTGCCTCTCACAACAAATCTACACCTCTTAGAAGGTTCATGGTTGAACTTTGTCAGCTCTTAACTCCTCTGTGATTCGAAATTTTTATAACATGACTCGGGCAGTCAGAGGGCCAATAACTAAAATCAACCAATCAAAATGCTCTATTGCCAGTCAATATTCTCTCAGTATTGGACCAGGCACTGTCCCGAATGGTCCTGAATGGTCCCGAAAACCAACTATAGAACTTTCAACAATCTGCTTCCCTCTCTCCAAGTTTTTTAATCAACTTTTCATTTTATTTTATGTTCCTCCTTATTTTTTTTATTATGAGCTAAAGATTTTTAGTCAGGTTACATTCTTATGACACTTCTTTTTATTTCAAAATAATTTTTAATTAGGGAAATTCTGAATATTGAATAGGAACAATGCATATATCTTATTAACCTATTGACATCCAGTGCACCCGTATGCGCCCATGTGGACCCACACCCTTTCTACGCCTTGTGACGTCATCACTTTTAACCCTGGAGCACGACTTTGAGTACGTACTTGAACAGGTTGAAAATATCTTACAAACGATACCAGAATGAGTGCAATTGAGTGAAGGAGATTGGAGAAATAGCCAAAAAACCATGTAAATTTCCAGTTCTCAGTGTCTTTGGTCCGTCAAAGCAAATGCATCACGCTGTACGCGTTACACGCGCGACAACACGCGTTTTGCGAGAAGTACTAAATCACGAGCAACGCAGTAAAAAAGTTATTCGGTCCTCTTACTCAGCGATAAAGCTTTAAAACTACTTTCATATAATTATCACAGTAGGGTGGTCTATTCATTAGCTAAATTCCACCCTTCTTTTTTCAGCGAGTCCATAAAAATTCGTTGTCGTTATCTTTTTAAGGGAGAACTAAACCTCTTTGAAGACTCTACTTTAAAGATCTTCAGTAGAAGGACTGTTTTTGCAAAAACCTAAAATTAATACTTATTATAACATAGCTAGCAGAGCCGCGCAATCAAATTCAGTATACGTAAGTGTGCTCAAAATCCCAATAGTGCACGCTGATAGCGTGAGCAAATCGCTTCGTCAGAAATTTTTTTTCTTTCGCGCGAGTGGCCATTGTTAGCGCGGAGAAAATAATATATTTCGCGACAATAATGGATACAAACAGAGACTCGGCCCACCAGTCCCAAAACGAAAACAATTTTCAGACCTTTTCCCCTGGGTTAGGGTTCTTAAATGAGGCAGAAAAAGAGAAAAAAAAATTGAAATTAAACCACTGTCTATTTTGCTTAATATTTCGCTTACCGCGAACAATCACTTCTGATATTGTTGTCTGTTTTTCGCGTCGGATTTGATGTACAGTTCCGCCGGCTGTGTTATAAAACAATTGGTTCATGATTTTAACTGTGCGCTATCGAGCTATGGAACACGTGGGAAGTTTGGAGAGCACTCAAGAAGCTAAGGTTGCCTGAGGCTATTGCCTCGGGCATCCCTTACGCTTCTTTCGTGCTCTCCAAACATCCCACGTGCTCCATAACTCGATAGTGCACGCTAAAGCATGAACCAAATGTTAAATAAAAGTGAATTAACACTAAAGAGGAAGATAAAAAGATGGAGAATACTTAACAAGGATGTTTCAATAACGTTATCGCGGATGACCTGTTACCTATCGCTTCTCAATCAGTTCCCGGTGTCTTTACGGGTTTGCCTCGGCCTGGAAAAGAGGTCGGGTGCGATTCACCCCGATGATAGCTGCTGTAACTATGCCCACGAGCTTCATGCGATATCTGCTCAGATCTGGAGTCAGTATTTTCCTTTTTTTTCAATGGTTTTAAGGCTTCCCGTGCGGAAGTTAAAAAATATCCCAAGTAGGATCCGTCATCAATTCTATTTGAATTTTCAATATCATTCTGATCTTTTATTCATCAAGATTTTGCTCATGCCCATCTCAGATCTAGGTGGATTGATACATGATATTTTTCTTCCACCGGTTTGATAAGAATAACATCCACCTCAATAAGTTCATCACGGGATGATGAGTAAGTTCATTTCAGTAGTTCATTTAATCATTACTTCATCGATTCAATTGAGTCTGTTGAATGATGACTAGTTATCATTAAAAGGGCGACAACACATGGCACTCCCAAAGTGTTGTAAAAATTCAGCCGTATTATGTATTTAGGATTTATCTCAAGAAACAATTGGGCTAAAAAATATGAGATATATCAGTTATCATTTCTGACCGTTACCTTGACAAACAACAGTGTCTCTGAAAAAAGATTCCCTTAATTTTTAAAAACCTGCGTTTTTCTTTGTTCAGTGTCTTACAAAATTATCCAATGAAATCGATACGTCAGATTGGTTTCATTTTAAGATTTTTTTTAAATAGGTAAAATGAAAAATATCTTGCAATTAAACCGATCTGGCAAACTGTTTGCGGTCTCATTAGTTTTATGCGTTTCTTAGCTTTTGTACCAATCGCACAACGGTTATTACTTTTCAAATTTTTGCGGTCTGCTTGCTTTCATTTGTCTGGTTCGAAGTGACAATAATTTATCATTTTTGTGAAATAAATTTTTAATGAATCCATTTCACTTCTCGAAAGTTTGTTGGAGTTGTTAATTTGTTCTTGATCTGAGAGTTTTCTTCAAGGATAAGCAATTGGAGAGGAAGATGTCAACCGGATCAGTGTATCAACTGGCATTGTGCCTGATGATAAGTGTAAAAGGTAAGATATTTGTTATCCTTCTTTTTCAGAACCGTTAGTGCTCCGAGAAAACTCGTTGAAAACTTTATGAAATTCTACCCATAACTAATGCATTGCTTTTGAGTCAGACGGCGAATCATTTACTGGGGGTTATATTAAAGGAGATAGTACTTCATGTGTCAAAGTATCTCTCGAGTCTTCAAGAGCTAGCCTTTCTCCCGATCAACGAACGTTATGTTCATCCACACGTTGCGTCGTTGCAGGTTGAAGAAACACCGAACTAATCTCTTCTTTTTTTTCGCAAAACTCAGCTAGCCAATTTACCTTGAACATTTTAGCATCACTTGAAAATCATATATCTCTACATGTGAATTAGAACATTGTTTGAAATTAAGGGGGTAAGTTTCTAAAGAAACTGTGGTGTTGCGTTGGTGGGGAAGTATAACAAGGTAATTTTGGTTTTATCAACTTAGTTCATGATATGAACTGGCCACCGTAAAGAGTTTCAAAGCTGAAGTTTCGCCCTTCCTCGTTCCCTCTGACGAAGGGCAAACGAGGGAAACATCAAGCGGCCGATTTACCGCCATTATCAACTCAGTTGAAAAAACCAAAACTACATTGTTTAAAATAGCTGATGCAGCTGTGAAAAACGTAGTCTGAAAACTGCCGGTTAAAACTTAATTTACCGGTCGATGATAACAGGGCTCTATAAGCTAAGCTTGATTAACTGCTTACTTACCCTACCACGTAATAGACATATTTTTCGCACTTTAATATCCTCTGTTGTTTAAAGTAGTTCGTTGGATATTGCAAAAGTAAAATCCATTTTCTTTTTTAACTGAAATATCATTTAAGTAACCTGAATAGGATCTAAATTCGAGCTAGGGCTTCTCAGTGTTATATTTAGTTTACCTTAGTTTCAAATTCTATGGTAATCCTCCAAATTTTCTTTTCGTGTCCCTGTTTGGTTAAAATAAGTTTCGAATTCGTTAAACACTGCAAAGAAAATTACAAAGTTTCTGAATTGGTACTAACATTTGACAAACGAGAAAGTTTCGCAAACATTATTTCTTTATTAACTGGAGCGAAATATATTCGATTAATCGTTGTAGAGCAGATGATCGACCTATCTGGGAAATCTGTTATGCAGTCGCTCGTCCATTATTCTCGTATAACTCCTCTCCAGTACCTTAATCATTTGGAAAGAAGTAACGGGGTTGCTGACAAAAATCTAGTCAGTTTGTTTTAGTTCGCACTTCGTCACAACAACTTCCTGCGGTCATATATGCTGATCGGGTCACTTTTTACAGGCAGTTTAAAAAGAGTGAGGTTTAACTAAACTGGAGCGTTATATTCCCTCATTTTCTTTTTAGTGCACGCGGCTGGCGCGGCTCCTGAATTAGACATGGACACAGGTTTTGTGAACGAGACGAAGGAAATGAATCATGGGTAAGTTCTTGTCCGATTTAACCATGACTAATTGATATGTAATCGTATAATGTTGGACGATATCTTTTTTTAGATGAACATCGGCCATACGGCGGCTATACGAGACTGCCGATGAAACATAGCCTGCTCTTATTTTCCAACGAAATAAAAACCGGCGAGGCTTTTTGCTTTTTTTGATAAATTTTATTCCAAATATAATTTTGCTCGTCGCCTACTTTCTCTCCGTCATTTCATTTTCTCATATTTTGAAAATCTGAAAAAAATTGGAAAAATTAATCTTTGGAAAGGAAGAAAAAACATACTTTTCAAATATGAAAAAAATTCTTGGTTGCCGTCTCTTATGTATGCGTTGTTGATCAAGATGGCTGGATATTGACCGAGTTCTTTTTCTACGTTTTTATGGACCGAGACGAAGTAGAGGTCTACAAAGAACGCAAAAAGACTGAACGAGGCTAATATCTAGCCATCTTGAACGAACGAGCTTGGTTAATAAAGGATTTAGTATAAAACAAGAAGATTTCGCTTTAATAAGAATCAAGAAGGCCAACTGTGTTTGTATAGCACGATAAACCAAGAGGTTCGTTTCATTTTTTCTTTGTTTTGATTGTCTTCTGCCGCTTTTTGCGACTTCATTGACATTGACCAAAAGTTACGATTTTGTAAGTCCATTCCACGCACTTTTTCCTTGCGCAGGATTAATACGGGCGTTTCTGAGCGGGCAAGATGGGCTCATCTTGCGCGCTCGAGTATCCAATCAGAACACAGGATTCACTTCATCTTGCCCGCGCGTGCCGCCAATTCTATAATAAGCATAATTATGAAAAACTGGATCATTGGATAATGCAATTCAAGACTTTTTATTGGCTTAGCCATTATGGTATATGAGCCAATATACCATAATCTGATATCTGAACATTGTAACATCCGGTTTCTTCCTACAAAATAAAGTCGAGAAGATTTGCCTAATATCTTGGGGGCCTTTTTTTTAATAAAACAATTATTCCACTCGCGCTTGTTGGATATGAGATGATTATAGCCAACTCGGCTCTACGCGCCTCGTTGGCTATCTATCATCTCATATCCAACGCGCGTTTGTGGAATAATTGTTAAATATCCATCTTTACTTTTCTGAAGGGTTGGAGAATGTCAGACCTGGAAATAAACTTTTTGCAAGAGACCATGAGCTGTTCACGCTCTCTTGTCCTATCACGTGCACAGAACATGCAAATATTATCCAACTGTGCTTCGTAGAGTACAAATAACACTCAAAACGAGTACAAATATCTCGCGGTATTTGTACTCCACAGAACCGGTAAGAAATTCACCCGCACTGAAATAACAACTTGGCGTGCTGTTGGATAATAAATATTTCATTAAACGTTTTGTTGTGTAGTATCGCTGAGTATTTTTACGAGCTGTGTCATTTGATAAGGTATATATATATTTACTAAAAACTGGATCATTGGATAATGCAATTCAAGACTTTTTATTGGCTTAGCCATTATGGTATATGAGCCAATATACCATAATCTACAAATATGGTAAGCGTTCGCGTCAGCTTAAAATTGAAAAGGAGCTAAAAAAATCTGTCTGATATAAAGATTTGTCTAATATCTTGGGGGCGTTTTTAAAGAAACAATTATTCCACTCGCGCTAGTTAGACACGAGATGATAGATAGCCAACGAGGCGCTACGCGCCTCGTTGGCTATAATCATCTCATATCCAACGCGCGTTCGTGGAATAATTTTTAAATATTCAACTAAATAACAGAAAAAATTGTTTATACAGTGAT